GCTGTGCTACTCGTACATTCAAACTTCTAAAACAAAAGCAAAATGACAATCCGGAGCTCTTGAAATCAGGCATCGAGGCCATTTGAGCACGTGCCGTAATTGACTCGACACTCGCATGGCTTTTATCGTACCAGCTCCTTTTTCTCCAACACAGCTTTTAGTTTTAAAGGCCTCTAATAAGTTTTATATTGACTGTTTCAGAAAGTTTAAGCCGTTCTCTTACAATCCACGTGCTGTATAAAACATAACAGGTATTGTTTTCATTGTTTGTCCCGTTCTTTATCAGTTTATCTTTCTTTGCACTTAAATCGCGCTTTGTAAGCACCATTTCAATAACAAAAGAAGGTGAAAATTTCCCACGGTAGAACGAGTCGCCAACTAAATGTGAAATAAACGACATTCCCTTGGTTGAGCACGCATTCAACACCGTGCCAGGTGGACGTCTGTTTGCTTTTCCTGTAATAAGGACATTGAGACAGATTTCTGTTTGACACTCGCGAACAAATGTCTAAGTTGTTGAACAAATCCAACCCCTTCTGTAATTATGACAGAAACAAAACCTTGGCTATTTGGCAAACGTAGTTTAAACTAAGTACATCTAGTTTCTGAGCTCTTAGCATAAACTATTGAATGGAAAAAGTAAGAAATTAATTTGTCTAGCCATTTAGCTCTGAATTAAGTGTTAAAACCAACCAGTCATTTCCGAAAACGACTCACGATGCAATTAAAAAAAAACAAAACAAAAAAAAAAAAAACACAAAACTCGATATTTTCTTTACAAGGAGAATAATCCTTTCTCCACTGAAACTCTGACATATCAGTAATCTTTCCACAAATTTATTATCGGTTTAAAATAAATCAAACTTCATGATGCTAAATGAGTCAGCTCATGTAAAACTACTGGGGATGTAAAATCTTCTATGAGGTGCTTAAGTAATCGATAAAACTTTCTCTTGTATCAAGAAAAATCTTGATTTGCTTTTAACGTGTAGAACCACGATTTGTAAACTGTAACGACTATGAAGAAATTATCTCCATATATCAACATAATTTACAAAAGCAGAGTTCTGCTCTCAATTTGTTGAACCATTGTTCAGCTAAACAGCGGAACATTGTGTTGACATGTTGACATGTAGAGTGTTCAGGTCTACCGCTTGCACACAGAAAAAGTAACGTGAAACAACTTAAGAGACGTTTTCTGAAACAGGAATGCAAAGAGAAGCAGAAGAACTAAGGGATTTATCTCAATTTGGTAGCAAGCTTGCGGCATGTAAATTTGCCATACAAACGTCGAAAATTCGAGTACTAAATATACGATACCTTGTACAAGAAAATAAAACTAGTTCAGCGTCAAAACTAATCGATTGGGAGAAAACCATTTTCCATAAAACATGATCTAATGTTTCGTCTCCCCTCCTTTAATTTGTCAGGCGCCTTTTCGGTTTGCTGGAGTAGCGGACATTAAAAGAAGGGAAACTGCACTGTACAGTAAAATAAATTCGACACCCCCTCTTAAGTTAGGCAGGAAAATGATGATGACTCAGCGATATTATGTTGCTAGAAGACAGATTGGCGTGTATCGAGCTTTAGTCAAATAAGCAATGTTGTTTGCTCATGGAGGGTTCGCTGCCGTTAAACTCCGAGTTGTCATGTTTACCCCGGGAGTT